CAAGTGCCTGCCCAAGTTCATATAAAACAGCCATAGAACAATGCCAAATGCAAATTTATCCTGTATCTGACTCTCTGGATTCACGAGGCTTTTTATGAAACTAATGAATGTGACAAAATGACTAAAAGCAAGTGTGAATAGATTAATTACATCCATAGCTAATGCTTGCCCCAGAACCTTTAAAAAATAGCCCTATGATTCTTAAAGCCAAGCTAACCTCCATCACTATTCTCCTAATCTTTGAGGAAAAGCTCCTCTTTCAAGTCACCTTAAAGCCCCCATTGTCAAAGGGAATTCAGCAACATTTCTGTGTCTAATTACCACGGTTTCTCTTAAGTTCACATACTATTTTTGTTAATGGCTAATTGAGATTCATCACTTGAGCAGTTCTCCAATATTTTATGAAATTCAAGGTAACTGATGAGCTTTCGTATATTTGCTGCATCTCCTCACAAGGAAGGAAAAATGACACTAAATGCTAATGTTAGTTGCTATCAAACCCAAGAGTCTGTCTATGGATGGAGGAAAAAAGAAATCTCTGTATGTTTAGATATCTAGTGCATCAGTTACTCTCAATATTTAAAAGCTTAAGCCATTGATGGTTAAATAGAAACACCAGTGCCAAGTTTGAAATTAATAAAGATTAAGACCAGCAGCAATGAGAATGATTTAACTAAGTTCAGAATCAAATATCAAAAGTCACCAGTGGCCATGGCTAAAAAAATACTTAATCTGTCAGAGGAAAAACAGCTTAAAAACATTACGGGTCAATGAAGCAAACTAAATCTGACATAAGGCCACTCAACGTACTTTCAATTTAGAAACTGTTTTTCAACATTAACGAGTGCGGCTGTGTTTGTGTAAAAGCTCTCCCAGCAGAGCCACCTGGCCCCAGACGCGGTGGGATGAATGGGCTTGTGGTTTCCTCACGGGCCACCGCCATCTCAGCTTTTTGGCCACAAATCTCAAATGTTCCTGCTCTCTTTACAGCCCAGCACGAGCCTCTCCTGGTTCCTCCAAAAATCAAAAACTTTTAGGATGCTGAGTGAACACTAAGCTACCTATTAATCCCCTTCTCCAGGTGGCCTCTGCTCCAGTAGGAGTGAAAAAGACTTTACACGGATTATTTTTGTTTATAGTATATAGATGTAATATATATAATATACCATATATTAAAAAACATCAAAGAGTCAAAATAAATGCTTACAACAACATCCCTCAGATTTCCGTATTCTTCGAAAGGAAAAACAAGGTTTCAGCTTTAAAATCTCCCGTGCTTGGCGCTGTTTGCACCAAAGCTTGACCGAGGACAGGGATCTGTTTGCATTCTGCAGAGGCAGCAGAAAAACAACCGCCTCGGGTTGTGCACGGCTCGCAGCAGCCCTGCCACCGTGCTCAGCAAAAACCACCTCGTGTTCTGCAGAGTCAGACTATTTCCCTACGCGATGGGAAATTCCGACTGTCTCTCACTTTTGTGTTTCTGTGCCCTTGCCTTGTATTATTCTTAAAAGCATCTTTTTTCCTTTAAAGAAATCTCTAACGTTCTCTGAATCCACCTCAACTTAAATCAGATAATCTATCGAAGACCCTTCCAACCGCTAACGTTCTGTGACTCTGCCATTAGGGCTGAGGACAGTAAGATCACAGAATCACAGAACACCAGGTCGGAAGGGACCTACCTCATGGATCATCTGGTCCAACCTGTTTGTCAAAAGCAAGATCTATAAACAAACCTGAAAATGCAATACTTTGGGAAACATTCTGGTGACATATATTATTATAGTATATATATTACAAATCATTATAGAAGGAAAAAAATGTACTCAAGCAGCTTATTTTTTAAAATTTTAACATGTGCTTGCTAACATCACAAGACTCAGGTAATTCACAGCAATATCCAGATAACAATATTATCTCTTACTTCTATTTCAGATTATAAAAAACTTTTAACTTCATATACTTTTAGTGACATTTTATCAGATCTCTGTCTATTCCCACCTTTGATGGGTGATGGAGAAAACCATATCCCCAGATTCATAGAGCAATGAACTTTCTAAGCCAAATGCAAGAACAGAAGCGTTTCTAGGAGAGAGCGGCTTGCCAAGACAAACAAGTTCTGCCAACATTTTAACAGGATAGAAGGTCAGTTGGGTTATAATTAAGTCTAATTACCATTCTCATGAATTGCGACATATTTTCACTTGAATGTGCTTAATGCTCAGAAGTGTATGAATTTTTATTTTATATTTTCCAAGAATCAAAGTAATGAGACATTCTAATCTTGGCTTTAAACCTGAATCATCTCTTAGCATCATAAAGGAAAAAGGTATGTCATCATTAAAAGGAAGAGATTTGTGCAGTTTATTCAACCACTAATACTTCCTTACTCCTGCTTTTCCTTATTCCTCTGCAGCAATTTTACAGGGTTTTGGCCCTCCTCCCTCTCCCCTTCAGTACCACTGTTTCTTCCCATTATTCCACATTTTCGTTTTCCCTTCTCATACTTTCAGAACTTTTCCACTTCCCTTTTTTACTTACTTCCCTATTTTTAATCCTCTATCTTGCCCTCTCCTCCCCCAGCAGGCTGGAGAACATGACGGTCGCAGAATTTCTTCTATTCCCGCAGGCATGCTGTGATTGCTGCCTCAGAACTGCCCTGGGAAACTGCCTGAGTTTACCTCATCGTGCAAAAAGGTGAGATAAAAATTGGTGAAGCAAAGACACCTTTTTCTCCCTCTTTCCTTTTCCCATTGGCCAACAGAAAGTGAAGAGGGGGGAGGGAACAGGAGCCATTTGGATTCTTCTCCTCCATCAGGAATGCAAAATGTGAGGGTGCAGTCTCGTCTTGGTCTCATTCAGATGAGAAAGAAACTGAAAAGCTTGGGCTATCAATGTAAAATCTGGCTACTTCTCCCTGACCTTACTGCTTGAAACAGAAATTAGATGCTCCCTTTGCTGAAGAATTTCATATACCGGAAAAGACGATTCTGCACGGTGGGGCAAAAGCCTCATATGGTTGTGCTCTCATACCACAAATAGTCTCTTAATACATAAAAATGATGGGTTTAGTTATCATATGTACTTCAAGTTCCACCTGTCCTACAGGAGATTCACGTGTCATCAGGGAATTAAGATGCCACTTCACTTACCAACCCTCATGCCAGGCAAGGCTTTTTATTGTAGGTGGGGCAAAACATAAATCTGCACCACCCTTTTGTTTACTTCCAATTACATTAATCTCTTGCATCTATAAGATAAATTTATCCTCCCATATATTATACATGCCTGTAGCCCTACAAAAACACATAGACTGAAATCTTTGACCCACTGCAATTGCTGGGGAGTTTGCAATGGACTTCCAGAGCTCTCATTTTAGTTTCCCTTCCACAGCTAATACACTACTTTTTCAACTACTTTAAATCGAGTTGTTTCTTTTTCCAGCCTTGCTGGTTGAAAAAATGTCACCGGTGTAAAAGGATTAAGTTGTTTTTCTGTAATTTACAACGGTGCAAGGTGGTCCCAGCACAACTGGAGATAGAACAGAGTCTATGGTTATGTTTGCTTGGCAGTTTGGCATGTCATGACTATCGCTGTTAAGTCCACAAAATTCACTTGCCTGTTGCTGAAATAATCCCTCACAATGTATTGATGTATATACAGCTCTTGGACTCTGCGTATTACAACACCAAATGACATGGCAGGTTTACTATTTCAAGGTAATTTGTTCCAGATTAAGTGAAATTCTAGAGTCAAAGGGGTTCAAATGTTAGTTCAAATATAGTTTCATATTCTCTCACCTAACAAGGCAAAAATCCACACCAACAACAGTGGAATAACAAGCAAAAACCCACAGCTTGTTCCTCTGCTTTCCAAACCTGAAATCCATTATCTGGAGATCCACCACTTACTAGCACACATACCAGAGCACAGTCTGAGCAGATGGTTCAAAGCTAACTATCAATCCATTTGCAGTTCAAACCAGTGGTGAACTACCCCAGCTGTTTTCCAGATCAAAAATATTATTGTCATTTTGCTATCGCTGCGTGCTGAGGGTTATGTAACAAAAATGCACATGTCCCTCTGCCTGGAATGCAATTAATTTCCTCCCTCCCCACTGCGAGTGGTAAGTAACAATTCAGACAGTCTGGATGCTTCAGTTTTGAGCATGGCCAGAGATGCAACCCTGGAATTACTCCACGTGGTAACCCACTATTTGTAACACACCAGTCTTTTGGAGGTCTTACAGACAGGGTATATTTTGCAGTTTGGAAAAAAATAAACGCTATCGTCCTGTTTATACATGACCTCTTGCTGTCTGCAGGGCACCATGAACACTTTGCTGTAGTTCTTTAGTTTAAGCACAGGCTTTGCTTTATGTTGGTATTTTAAGCATCCTAAATAAGCGTGCTAACTAGACAAAGTAATTGCTTCCGATCCAAAACCAGCCACTGTACTTGCTGTATGCTTTGGTATGCAAAAATAAGGCACTGTACACTATTAAGTGTAAAATAGTGGCATAATCCCATCTTCACTTATAAAAAGCCAAACACCACACGGTTAAATTCAGACTGCACCACGCTTAAACACTTCATGCAATTTGCTTGTACAAGGAGAACAACTGGAACTCCTTTGCCGAGAACATGCATGAAACAAACCCAATTTCCTCAACGCAATATTTTCTGCAATGGGCCTTGCATCTTCATAAGGGCAGCTAACCCAGCGGTACTTATAGATCAGCTCTAAGATCTTCAGGACAGGAGCTGCCTGTCTCTAAAACGTTTGCACCACACTCAACATCTCTCAGTTGTGCCTGTGACACAAATGCAATGGGGTGATCAGCTGTACGCCAGGGTGTCAGTCGAGATGAAACATTAACTTAGTACTTAACTGCAGCAATTTCCTTTAATGTGTTATTACGTTTTTCAGCTTGTTCTGGATTTCTGGCACAGTTTAGAGCCTACTTCTGTAGGGAGCACCTGCAGTGGTTTTGCTATTCTTACCTGGATAAATAGGCCAGAGCCAGCTCAGATCCTGACGGCTTTTTGGGCTGCACCTTTTTAGTAGAGATTCCAGCTTCCCTCATCAGCTGTTTTTCCTTCTTCTTGCGCTCTTTTTTTAATTTTCTTTCTAGTTTCCTCCTTTCCTCTGCAGTAAGTTCTTCCTTTTCTTCCACTGACTGAAAAAAAAAAATCAACATTTAAATAAAGTGTTTATATTTCTGTAGAAAAGCAAACAAAATAAGCATAAATGCAGTTGAAGGGCAAAGGTAATATCTAAAACCAGAAGCTTCGAGGTTCATAATTTTACGGTTCACTATGTTTCCATCACCTCTCCACTCTGCTCAATGCACAGAACTGCTTTAGAGCAGAGAGAGGGTACGGGGGAGTTTAGCATACACCCACTTAAGTGGGAGAAGCTGAGTTTCCTTAAGATCCCCGGTTTCTGGGGCTGTTTGTTGTATAACCTTACACTTCCCTGGACTGAGAAAACATCTGTCTGCTACACTGGGGCTTCATCTTCATTATGTTAAAGAAGGTGTGAGAACTACCGTCTTCACTGAAGACCTCCTGGAGATCCTGTAGCAATTTTGGATGAACATATGCACAGTCTTCAATAAACGTACACACATATATCCCCCCCAAAGGTGGAAGTGTCTTTTGGTTTGCAGAGAGAATAGTTAATTATTCACATCTAAAACCACATTCCTGTAAATAGATGCATAAATATAACCTCCACGAAAATAAGCACTTCACGTACAGATGAAAAGTATCAAATAGATACACTGAGTTTATTAAGGAAAATGCAGCGTGAGATCACACAGTATAGAAATAAAATGCTGTTCCACAACGAGATGAGATGGACTTCAGGGACTTCTACATGTCTGACAGAAGTTTACCCATGTCTTTCCAGGCAATAGTCTCAATGAATTGTTAAGTATCAATTAGAAGCATAAAAAAATTGCAGCTAGTCTAATACTAGATGTCAGTTTATCCAATGCCCTCCCTACAACTTCCCTGGAAGTGATTTCCTCTTTATTGAACTGTGCAATGAAAAACTCATGAAATCCTGCAAACAAGACTTGTACAGTGTATTGGTCTTGCTTTTAGATATTTCTAAGTCCGAGGTTGAGGGGATTTGACTGAAGGTGTTTCTGACAAATCTGCACATCCCTCGGAAGGTGGAGCCTACCGAGACAAGCGAGGCAGTCCGGAGGAGCCACCCACGCCCACGGCAGCCATACGAACATCTCGCATCCCAAGGGTGGGCAAGATGAAGAAGCCTAACCACCATCACCAATATTTCCAAGAACAAGAATTACATTCACAGTGTGCACCTAGTTCAGATCCAGCGGCTTTACCACAGCACTGTATCGAGCATCGGAAACACACGGAGGCCAAATTGAGTGCGAAGCAAAATGCTCTTCCTCCTCTCTCGGCTCCCTCCTCACCTCTTCGAGGAACCCATAACTGAAACCTGAACGCACAAGAAGACCAACTGATTTATGGAAAGGTTGGTCAAAACCACTTGATAAACTGGCAAATCCTTAGCGTTGTATCAATCAAATCCTTAGTGTTGTATCCAGCCGTGGTGCTAAATAACATTAGTCTTGATAACATTCAAGCAAAGGATGGTTAAACCAGACAATAACTGAACACAACCTTATTTGCCAAAGACACCTGCTGACAACTAAGGATTTGTTCAGTGTCAATTCATGTATCAGCTAAGTTCACTCTCATCACCTTTTCAACTTTCTTCTTTCAAAGACAAAAAAAGGGCAAGAAAGCAGAAATTAGAATAAATCGGAGTGGGACAGCAAAGAGGACTTGCTGGTTTTGTTTAAAATACTTTTTAGCCACTATTATGGAAAAACCAACATTCATGTGCAAACACATGCAAAAAAAGCAACATGTTGCATTTGTATAGAAGACGTTTTATAACTCATGCTGAGAATAAAATAATATTTAGGGTGAAGGTAGGTACGTAATTGTTATACAGGAAACAACGTTTTCATTTGAAAAGCCACCCTGGTACTTACTAAAACAACAATCCAGACACACAAAGCCCAGGAAAACACTGAGGGTGGTCATTTATAAAGTGTTTGTAAAAGATTACTACAGCAGCTGTCCAACAGACGACACACTACAGTTAATCTTCTTTTAAAAATAATGTAATGAATTTGTTTACTTTTCTGTGAGCCATGAAGCTTTCAAATAAAGTGACTGTGGCACATCATTAGAGTCGGGCTGATAAAGAGGTCTCTGCTTCTTCATACTTACAGTAAATGCATATCTCCGTACCTTCCCTTCCCCCCCACATTCCTCACATTATCAAAAAGCTTTTTATCCCTCTCCCCGAGCGTCCCATTAAAAACAAAACAAGTTGCTCCCTCGCTGTAGGTCCTAACATAAATACCGAGCTCCAGCACAACGTTTGCTTCCAGCATGGCAATTGCTGCACCGCGGCTTGTTGGAACCAAAAGCCTTGCTCTCTCCCCAGGGCTGGTTCAGGCGTGAAAGAGTCCAGATTTACCACTGGAGGCACCTTCTGCTGCCCACAGCATCATCCCAGAAAAATCAGATTCATCAGCATTCTGTTTGGGACTCCCAGGACACGTGCTGGGAAAGCACGCACAAACAGCTTTCCTAGCTGCAGCTATACTTTTAGCCATCCACAACCACTTGATCAACCTAACAGTACGTACCACAATCTGTCCTTGCCTGGTTTTTAATTTGAAAGTCTCAAGTTTTACGTGCTTCATAAAATACCTCCATTTGGTGGTATATTCTCCACAGAAGATGAGGGTGATTTTATCACAATTTAAAGAAAAAAAAAAAAAACAAGGCCAAAACAAAACACACCCTTCCCCAGAACCTGGGACTCAAAAGAAAACAAAACCAAACCTTCCACTGGAATTTAAAACCTAGTTGTATTTATTTTAACTTGGATGATCTCTGTTATGTTACTCTACTGATGCATCGCTCTTTAAATCAACAGCATTAGGTTTTAATTTGGCTTTCTCTGAACCACCAGCGTGACCCTTTTTTTCTGAAAGATGTGTCTGAAGTTTGTGAGCCATTCGGATTAGCGGTTTTAGTATTATGCCACTGTTTAAACTAAAAACCCCAACCAACAAGACTTCATTGTTTTGAGGTCATAAATATCCCATGTTGTCTCCTTCTATAAAGTGACATCACAATTTGTAGCGCTACGGTTTGGTCTTAACTACAACATTGTAAAGTCCATATCTGAGCACGTGAGACACTTGTTTATTGACGTGATAAATTTGAACCACATGCCTACAGAAAAACACAACACTTGCTTATTTGCAAAGCCTGCTGAGAGCTACCACACCACCTTGGATCCTGGGCTCATTAGATCTCAATCTAAACAAGGTCGGGCAAGGTCAGTGCACTTGAATGAATGACATTCAGAGGAGAGCCAGGGTTTTGTGGTGATTAAGGAGGTGGGAGTCTTCCACTTGGAAACTTTCCAGAAGGCCTGAAAAGGTGCTAAAAGGAAGACTGCCACTGGATGCCATATTTTGAGTGAAAGACAGCCCCTCGAATTTTTAATACTTCACGCTCATAAAAATCCCATGTTGTCTTTGCAAGGCTGTGGAGATGTGAGCTCAGGTATCTTATCTTCAAGCAAATTCCCAAAGTTCAACCTATACCGCGTCCGTCTGCGTGCACAGTGCTGTGGCTGCCAAAATGGTGTCTTTCGTCAATGCCAGGCTCTGCATTTCTGAATTGTACGTAAACATAGTAACATACTGTAAATAGTCTAAGGCATCTGGCTCAAAATATCTAGAGGCTTCAGCTGTGGCAATTTTAGATACCAGTTAAAGTTTTCCATTGTTCTTTGTAAGCTGGAAACAGTGCATAAAGTTAAAACGTTCTGTAAGCGATCTTTAGAAATGAGCTTACCCGTAAGAAAAGCGGAGTCACCTCAACCCAAAGTAAAGCGTTTACCAGTATAAAGCTAAGCAATTCAGAACAGACAAAAATAACTGCACAGGAAACTGGCGGAAGGATGCGCCCGTAGGGGTTCTTGAAGATACCTGACCCTTTTTTTCTGCAGTAAGACTGGCAAAACCAAGTAGGTGTCATTTTTCAGAGATGACATCTGCATAAAAGCTTGTACCGCCAGGGGACTATGGACCACGATGGTGCTAACAGCACACTAACTGTATTGTGTTTCCGCAGAGCAGTAAGTGCATTTTAAAATTTGCTTCCGGATTTAGAGTTGCTCAGAGGTCCTTGACTGCCTCATACTTGAGTAGAACTGAAGTCATCTTCTAAAGACTTGAGTTCCTCCTCCTCCTCGCTCGTCACTGTTTCACAGACATTTGCATCCTCAGTTGTCTGCTGCCAGCACAGAGTCAGGCTGACAGAGTCAGAAACTCTGAAGAACTACCACAATGGACCGAAAACTCATTTATTACAAATTTGCCTTTGGGATTCGCCTGTGTAGGTCTGAACTTTCCGCCTGTTCAGGGGTTCGGCTTTGCTGCCAAACCTACTGCAGTAACCACAGAGCAGCCACAACACCTAATTCAGTAGTACCAGTGAATCTAGCTTCTCCAAAAGCCAACAGACTTTCATCCTTCTCCACCAGCACAGCAACACAAGTCCACACAGCAGCAAAACGACATAAATTCAGAACATCATAAATTCAGAGGAAAATATAACTTGGCTAACAGTGACAAACATATAAAAAGGGCATGAAATTCTTGAAGTCCAAAGAGAAAGACGTAGGAAAGGACGATATGGGTTATTTCATAGTAGGAGCATTGTGTTGCCTTGTTTGTTCATTAAGCTCATGTTATTTCATAACTTTTAATACTGAGAAATGTCAAAAGGGGCTTTGTTCACTGACCAAGAGCTATTGACCCGTCACGTAATGGCTTCTGCTTACAAGTAGCCTTTTGCCCCCAAAATGCCCCGTGCGTGATATCAGCATGCAAAACGTCTGTCTTACACAATACATAAGAATCCAGACAAATAACTGGCCATCTGCCAGCTTAAAAACAAAAAGCAGAATCTATAAGCACAGTTCAAAATCTACAAAGAAGAAAGGGTGGCAAATCCTTAGATGCAAGGTTCATAAAAGAAAGATTGACAAATGTTACTATCTGAGGCTTGGCAAAGAACCGCACTACAACTACAGCTCCAATTTCCCATAAAATAGTTCATGGCCATACTGGATGTAAATAACCATTTTCTATCTTTTAGGACCTTATGAAAAGCAGTATGACCAGAGAGGGCATATGAAATTTCATTACCATGCAGAAAGCAATTTTTGAATGAAAAGTTACATTTGTAGAAGTATGCCTCCTTGTATCATGTCTGTAGCATTTACAGAGGAAGGTTTTTTAAAAATTATACATTGCCTAAAGAAAAAAAATGAAATTTATCATAAAAGTGAGGTGTTTTGAGAACCTCAGCTCCTCAAAAGAAAAAGCACTGGGTATAAGTTATGTTGATTTGGAAAGGTTTCTGTAGATGCAATCCAGGCAGAAAAGCCTCAAACAAGTTCGGCAGGAAGCCAGTTTTAAATAAGAACAAGGTTTTTATCTTTGTGATCCAGGAAAGGATTCTTCTAGTGGTTGTGTAAATGTTCAGGGTTTTTTTTCTTTTAAAAAAATAAAAGTGTCCTTGTGTACCCAGTCATAGTATCTCAGAAGCACAAGTGATCAGGTAGCACCCTAAATTTGCAGCTGTAATTTAGAATAGATGCACCTTTATTAGCTTGAAACTGGGCTTAATTTACAACTGTGTGATCTTTACATGCCTCAGAGATTTACCACCAACTCTGAAGAGCACATAAAGTGTTATCATTGGGAACTGCTGAATAAGAAGAAATTGAACAATTTACTAAATTAAATGCAAGCATTTATAGGCACACAGAACCATACGATTTACAGAACCCAGCTTGTTGAATTCCACTTTATAGATTGTTTGGTCCTATAAAATACATACTGTAGCGGATTAAGTTCTAAGGCTTAAATTAGTACCATATTTTATTTCTCATTTTTCCCCACCAGTATCGCAGTCCTGAATACAGCAGAAATATTTAAGACACCACCGCGACTGCAGGCTCGGGGAATGCAGTTTTGCTTCATTTGCAACTCCAGCACTGCCAAGAATTTTCACATATTTGTCGAAGGATTTTGCTCACTCTTTTACCCTTAATTAAACCGCATTAACCAATCAGGAGAAGAAGGGAATTAAAAAGAAAAAAAAAAAGAAACCCCTTGGAAATCATTTGTACCCACATCCCTGTGGCTTACACGCAGCCCTTTTAACCCCTCCCCAGAAACGCGCGGAGGAATTTTAACAGAAGGAGCACGAGACTGTCGCAGCAACTCGGCGTTTTCATCGCCACCAAAGTCGTCCCCTTTACGGGTGCTGACAGTTTCTTTCAAAGCTTAAAAAAGGCCTTGGGCTGCGAGAGGAGGTAGAAGCAGCAGCACAGGCTGTTTTGAAATCCTTGCTGGAGAATATTTTTTTTCTTTTTAATAAATAAATAAAACAACCCCAAACCACGAGCTCCATCTCCTCCAATGAAAGAGGTACCACAGGGTGTAGGCAGGTTGCCAGGCGAGCTCGGCAGCGTGACCGCACTGCATTGAGTTTCTTTAATGAAAGCCAGGAAAGAACACATTACACAGTGTTTCTTCTGCGAGCCAGCTAGCCTCCAGTGATTGAAATCAATAAAAACAGTCGGCAAGGGGCCCAGTGGGGGAAGAGAGAAATCTCCACTACAGCATTCAGTTTGCTTTCCACTTTCTCCCTTCCCCCCCACCCCCCTCCCACAGCTAAAGTTAAACTCTGAAGATCACCATGACAAGCTACTTCGCTTCCAGTGCTGGGAAGAGGCTGGTGGGGATTTAAAGGAAGCGAGCGCTTCCCTTCGCCTCCCGCCTGCCTTCGCTCTCCCCCCGGCGCGAAGGAAATGAAAGGCTTGCTTGGAATCTGAATCCTGCCTGGAAAAAAACTTCATCGGACAAGTGCAGCGCTCTGCATTTCAGGAAAGGGATGGATTTTACGGTCAGAGAATGCTAAAAGGTGAGAGGGGGAAGAAAAGCAGGAACTTGATTCAGCCAGAGCCCACGTACAGGCTAGGATGTCCACCACGGCGGAGGGGACCTCTGGAGCGGTGGGAAGGATTGCCAGCACACGCCTGAGATCGGCACGATCCACATCTTAACGCAGCCGAAACGTGAGGGAACACGTGACCGACGGCCGACCCAGGTAAGCAGAACCTGCTTTTAACGGTTCTCTGCACTGCGTCCCAAACGGGAGCGAGACCCTTCTGCCCCAGCCTCCACGGGCTGCCCCGCGACCTCCCTCGCTGAGCCCAAGCTAGCCAATGCCACCATTATCCTGCCTGAAAAGTGTGTCAGGCCACTAATCCTCACCGAACTACAAAACACGCACAAAAGCCCTTTGTTTACCGTTTTTGCGCTGAATTTGCCAGTTGACAAGGTAGGACGGGGCGGTTGCAGGAGTCCAGCCCCTCCAGGAGCTCAGGCTCCCGGTGCGGGAGGGCCCGCTCAGAGTGCGGCAACGCGACCGACGCTGCACGCTGGAGCTCAGTGGGAGCCCAGAGGGTGCCAGTAATGAATTTCTAATATGGTCCATATTTTTCTATGTTATTTATGTATTTTCATCACCATAGCAGCCACATAGAGTACATACTTGCGCCGAGTCCCATGTGCTGATGTGCACCACGAATTGCAGCAACTCACGTGCACGGGGGCTTGCCTGATTGTTTTGGCAAACAGAACTTTATAATTGCTTGTTAACGCAGCCAAGGGGGGTTTCTGGCACGTTTAGGAATGACCAACATGGGCTGACCCAGCATGTGTATATCCTGCAATTAGCCTGATGCATACAGTTTTATACAGACACCCCTATAAAACTGGGACAGACACAGATCACAGCTGCAGATCACAACACTGCTCTCAAGTCTTTAGCCAACTGCAGATGATTTATCTAAACTTCAGTGAGACGTGAAGGGTGAAACCAAAGCCCGGCTTTTTGCAAGGCAAGCAAAAATGATGATGGCTACATCTCTTTTCCAGCAGTGGCAGGAATTCACTGGAACCGATAAGAAATAGGTGCCAGTGGAGCAAGAGCAGCCACGCTTGTCCCTCCGTGCTGGTGGCCAGTAGCTGCTGACAGCAGCACACACGCTCCCGGCCGGAGAGGGCTGGAGAGGGACTGGGTGCCTCCACTTCCACTCAATGTTTCGGCCCCTCGTTATCCCAAACCTGTACTGGATGACTGATGCTAAAGAGACTTCCCAGTATCTCCTCCGTTTCAGTGCCAGCAGACAGAACGCAGGAATTTCATGCAGCAAGTGCATGTGTATTCCTGCAGGTGCAATGTTGATCTTTCTTTGGAATACACGGCCTTTTAAGGGCAATTTTATTATTTTCACATCACATGGAAATGACCTTGAGAACACCTCCATGTTCACAAGTAAGGGACTGGTATTTTTACATTTAAGTTTAAGCATTTTTAAAGCGTGACCTGTTCTGATCAAGCCATGAAAATAGCTGAGGCGATATCTAAAGAGCACAAAAGTTTTTTTGAGCTGATTTATCAGTCCAATTTTGAACTCTTTGCACAAAATAGCCGCAAAATAATTCACCTTTTCAAAATCTGTTCCATGTTTTGCCTCTCCCTGCGCAGATCCTTTGCAGAAATGACAGCACCTTCATAGCTCAGGAATCACAGCAATCACTCCCACACCAATCAACATGTCCATTCTGCTCTGCTCTTGGAGCTAAATTTATCCTTATGCAGAGGAACTCTTTGAAGTCTCTACTTAAATTTTCAAACAAGGAGAGCTTAGGTGGGACTTAGACAATGCTTTATCACTTGTACTGACATTCTCAAGCTCAAATAATATTCCTCCCCATTACTCCCTCAGCAGAAGATATAAATTTTATCTTTAAAGCAGGGTGCAGGGTATTTTTGTTCATAGTGATGCATTTGTCAGAAGCTAAGTGGTATGAGTTTCCATGGCATTTACTGCTAATGGAATGTGTTCTTCTCAAACACACGGCATAGGAATAAAAAGTATTTTCTCGGTGAGAAGTTTTGACCAAATACAGATATTCTAGCAGTGACTTGTCAAAGTTTTTCAGTCATGTCCATGTTATTAAAGCAGATTCCATGAACAGTGACTCTTCCTTTAGAGTATGGAGATCTGGAAGAATCCCACATTGCTTTGCTGAGGTGGATACAAAAAATAGAACTAATGGAAACCTTTTCCTCATACTTCTACTACTCAATAGCCCCGTATCATCAGGAGTACTTCAGCCTCAACAACAAATTGCATCTTCACCCTGAATGAGAGTTCCCAACAGTGTTGCCATCCCTTTCAAACGAGCCTGATC